CGAGGACATCGAGGACCTCGACGACGACGACGACGACGACGCGGAGGATGCTATGATCAGCGCGCTGGTCTACGACGAGAAGGAGGACGCGAAGAAGAGGAAAGTGAAGAAGAACCACGAGACCGAGGAGACCGATGACGATGACTCGGACTACGGACTCGGCCTCTCCGGACTCCTCGCCAGGAGCAGGAACGCCAGAAGCAGTCGTCGGAGCAAGGTCATGAGGCTTTGAGCTCGCGTCGTTCGCATGCCGGTCATTGGACAATCGAGACTCCCTAGATCGGTCGGTTGGCCAAGATTCGAGTTTCGTCGAGTCGACGGATCCGTTGACTGGATTAACCCTTTATGACTTGGATAATCGTTGTTAGGTCTCGTGTCTTCCGACTGTTCGAGTAACGTAAATGATAACTATCAATGCGCTTTGCAATTAATTTGAGCACACGGGTTTTCATTAGGTTAAGTGGGATTTCGTTGGAAATAATCCGAGGATATTCGATTCACGGTGTCTTGGTAAAAGTGATACGTTAAAGTAGCTTCAGGTTGTAAAGGGTTAACGAACGTTGGAGACTGATGATTACTTTCTTTTCTTTGTCGAATGTCGCTGGTAACGTGTGACCTTGTCGCGGGAGGTTCAATGGGTGATCGTTGAGAAGTAGGAGAAGGATTGGGTATTTCACTTGAGTATAGTGAATACTGTTGCAATCATTGGTTGAACTGGTGAGAAAAATCATTTTAACCAGTGTTATCGATGTGCATGGGAAGAACGTTCGAAGCGTAACACGAAGAATCAGTAATGATCAGACGAGTCGCGAACGCTGTCCGCGACATCAGCCATATCGAAGTTGCTCGATTAGTGTAATATTACTTAAGGCGCACTTATTTATATGTATTTAATTAATTTATTGAAACTGTAATTAAACGATTGAAATAAACGTGTACTTTCACAGAGGCTGTTTTCTTTAGCTGGGCGCAGTCACGGGAGAATCCTGATCACTGTAATGATTTCACAACGCGTCGTCAGATTTTGCACTGAGATTCTTTGAGAGTAAAAGACTTACGAAAAAAATGAGATCAATTAAACTCGAATAGAATGAACCGATTTTAATGCATCGTTTAATCGTACTCGAATAGTACAATTCGCGTTGCAGCAACGATAAGTTAATTAGTTTTAATGAATCAATTTTACAACGCGTGTTCTACATCTTACTTGTCGTAATTTCATTTTTATTAGAACACGAAAAATACCTGCGACAAGGGACTCTCGGAACGCAAATATCGCCGCGTAGGATCACTTCGGCTTCAAACTTGCTTTCTATCGAAAGCTTATGCATAATTAATGAGGACGGAGACGTCGTAAAGCGATTGGACCTCAGCCCAATTTCAGTCTTCGCCGAGAACCGACCGGTATCAGACGTTTCTCCTCAACAACGATGTTGGCCAAAGTGTCGTGCGTTTTCGTGTTGCTTCTCGCTGTGCAGGACACCTGCGCCGCTACGTCTCCCGGTAAAAAGGATAGCACTGGTAACGAATCCTTCTTATTATTAAATTTCCTTTATTACGTAACAGTTGTTTACACGTAAATGTTAAGTACGTTGTCGATATTCCTTAGCTTCCGGAGTAAACAGTTAATATTCACGTTCCTTTTAATCGTCGAAGTGCTAACTATCGTTGTGTATGAAGTTTTCTTATTTTTTTGTTAATTTACTACCATTTCCGAAACGGGATCACGAGATATCTTGTCAAATAAAATGAGAATTTTATTTCAATACCATTTTCAAATCTGATACAGCTTCGCGAAACGACGATGAAAGCGTAAGGTTCTTTTTTCGTAAATTTCCATACTTTTGTTCAACAGATCTCTCGAAATACAATTCCTTCTACTACAACCCGGAAACTGGAGTCGGCCTGATGCCGTCGCTGGAGGATAACAGCAGAGATCCTTTGTCGACCAAGATCTCGTTCCGAGGACTGCCCTGCGAGTGCGACGGATTCGAGTGCTCCTGCTGTGCCGGCGTCAACATGACGTTAATCGACTTCAATCGTCGCGCGTGCATAAAATTCACCTTCGTCCCCGTCGATTCTGCTATCCGTATGACGCTGAACATGAACGAGAGAGAGATCTATGCGTCTACGGTATCCAGTAAGTGGCTGTTTCCGAACAAATAGAAAGTTCAGGGTATTCCCTAGCACAAAGATATTACAGGACGGTTCATTAGTATTTCAAACATTTCGATGTTATTATATTTTCCATTAAAATAATACCAACAGGTGCAATGAATAAATTATCGATCCACTAAATGAGACTCAGAAGCCAATATTGCACCAGTTAGAGAAACTACCCTAAAATTACTCGATTTTCCGCACATCCAAATTTTGCGCTGAGAAAAATAAAAGATCGAAGAAGTGTTATAGCGTTTCTAATTTTCGGAATACTGAAATTAGTTGCAGTTGCTGATAGATCAGAAAGCAACCTAGTGCTAATTTTCTCAATTTTTATTCTCCTGACAATGGCTTCCAAGCGACTCGAATTACGCAGACATCCGAAGTCATCGTAGATTCGTTTGATTTCGTTGAAACTCTATTCCTATTATCGTTTCAGTCAAAAACCCTCCGCCATTGTGCGTTCCGATGCCCTACCTGCCCTTCGTCGGCTTCTGCATTCGTTTCTTCGAGATGTTCATGGACGGTAGAAATCTCCACGCATGCATCGACTTAGAAACTCGCATCGTTGGAACGCCGATCCTGATCTTGCACTTCAATTGCGTGAAAGTGGGCGTCGACGGTGTCTCTTGGGCGCAAATCGGGAACGAAACCAATTCAACGACTGTGGAGATGCACGCGATTATAGAGGAACCGGAAGTCTACGACGACGTCGACTTCGAGCAGCAGGATCTCGAGGCCTACGCGAACTACACGTCGACGCTCAGCCCTGAAGACGAAGCGGAGATCGGCCAGCTGAAATTGTGATCGTCGCGACCAGTTGTTCTTCGTCTGACGAATTTCACATAATCTTTACTGAAATTAAATCGTTAACTAATATTTATTTGGACGGTGCGCATAGCTGTGCAAAGAGCTTGGGCGCAAGGATTCTTGTAGACGATGTGTATATATTTAAGACTATTTATATTTATGCATTATATTTATACATTATTTATGCATCGCGATAGGGTACCTGGAATTGTTATTAAATATTGCCTTTGTAATGTGTGTACGAATCATTGAACTTGACGTTGACCATTGAGGAACCTCTAACCCTTTGCACTTGAAAATATTTTTCTCAAATATTCATTACTTTCTGATGGAATATCAATACGTTTTACGACTAACAAAGAAATACCTTGCATAAATTAAGTAACAGAACTATTTTATTTCGATGTTCCATGTGTTGCAATATAAAAATTTAATATTGAATTCTAAATTTTATCATTTTCATGAGTTAATGTCGGCGTTTCGCTGAGATGAAACTTCCATGTTTGGAATACTAAGTTGCAAAGAAATGATTGAACCACTTGAACAGCAAGAAATCTGTACAAAGTTTCCTTATTCTCTATTACTTAGGCGTTAAGTAAGCCCCACCAATCATTAATTGAATATTTAATACTGTAAGGTAAACACACTCGTTAGTACACAAGTACACAAGGTTAATACATTCATGGATACGATCCAATATAGAAAGTGTAGTCAAACGTCCGGATAAATAAACAAAACTCCACAGGAACCGGTCCGAGCCATCCCAACGAAATCTACTTTCGATCTCCCGGGGTGAGCAGCCCGCCGTTTCTTTTTCCTTAATCCGGCGCCGAGGAGGATTTACTAGATGATCAAATGCAGGTGAACAGCTCCAGCCGAACCTAAATTTCTCCGCAAAACGGGGTCAGGGCAAAGATATCCGTTAACCGGCCAGTCGGGTTTCGATCGTTCGTTGAAGATGTCCTCTCGCAGCGACTAACTTCGCGCTCGAACTATGAGGATCCGTTTCTTGCTCTTCTTCGTCTTTTTAACCGTCCAAAGATCCGCGCAAAGGATCGACAGGGAAGGTACCGCGGCCAGAGAAGGTGGACCGGAGGATTCCTCGAACGATGCACTTTCGATCGAGGATCCGAAGCGCGCGGAGGAGTCGAGGGACTCGCTGAGGCAAGCGATCAATTCCACGAGTCCCAGCACTCAGGTGACGGCGACCAGGCAAGGTCCTTGCCAGTGCGGCGGAGGCGTCTGCGGATGTTGCTCCAGGATTCTGTTCGACACCTGGAAGCAGAAGGCATGCGTGAACGTGACCTATGACCCGGACGAGTTCAGCTTCACCGCGAAAATCTCGATGAACGACAGAGTCCTGTACACGAGAACAGTGTCCGGTAGGTTGGTCAATCGTCTACCGATTTAGCCGATGTCCACGTGGCGTTGCTTGTTAACACGTTGCATACTAGTCTTGATGCTTTCACGGCCTGGAATATTATTACACTCATTTTTGGCTTTCGGGTGAGAGCCGTGTCCAATAGGAATATTTTCCCAACGTTTCGCCGGCATTGCAGCTGGCTTCATCAGGGGGCTAAAGGCACACTGATACTTTAGCTCCCTAATGACCTAATCACCAGTGGCTGACATGGCGCTTAACGTGTTAAGCGACTGATATAGAATTTAGCTTCATGTTTTGAAGGTTTCGTATCTTTCGAAGGATCTTCGTTGAGGGTGAACGCTTAAGGATATTAACACAATCCCGGCTGATTCGATGAAAATTCATTTCCATAGAATAAAACGATGGACCTCTGCGAATGACCAATGTTTCAGGGAAGAATCCTCGACCGATCTGCGTGCCAGTGCCACGACTGCCGATAGTCAAAGCTTGCGTCAGGTTCTACAATATCTATTTTCAAGGGAGGAACATTCATCTGTGCGTGAACATGGAAGGGAGATTCAGAGAGACCACCTTGTTCAAGGTCAGTCCTCTAGATCAGCGAGCTTTCAAGCTGTTCGTTTGCGATTTAGTTTGTTTAAATATTTGGAAATATTCTTATTTATAGGTCGGACTGGACTGCATCAGGTTCGGCTCGAACGGTTTAGCTTTGGTAAAGCCGGAAGACGGCGGTGGAGTGGGTCAAGTGGAGTTTCTACCAGGCGACGACGACGATGACGACGATTATGACTACGATGACGAGGACAACGAGGATGACGACGATGACGACGACGACGACGATGACGACGACTATTTGTGAGAAACACCTGGAACTCCTTTCGCGTCGCGTGGATTTGGCAGAGGAATCGTGTAGAACCAGTGCCATTCACGCGATGACAATGTTTATTTATTGTATCATTGTTCTGTACAGATGAATCATGCGATAGCTGTATTATTTATTGTTACACTTGGATAGCTCGACGCTCGGTACCGTTTCAGTCTATTGACACCATTGCGCAACACGCGTTGCGGAGGAAATAGGCGAATAAAATATGCTGAACAGATGCAGTTGAAAGTTTTTTTTTTTGTAACTCCATCGGCATCCTGTGTATTCTGTAGGGAAATCAGCGACCCGAAAACAGATCTGACAGTATTGTTCGCTGGAACAGCGGTTGCCAGTGCCGCTGCGATCGCGAGCGATGCGACTTGTATGGGTAATCGAGTTCTGAGCGCACCGCGGCAAAAACGTGGATTGTAATACGTCCAGCATGAATTCTAGAATACGCGGTGTCCTGATTTCGCTGTGCGTCCATTTCCTCTTTCACTGGTCCGCGGCCATCGGAGAAGAAAGTTGGTGTTTTTCTGTCCGTTTCCTTGAATCGCGATTCACTCGATTTTCTCGGATGAAACGTCTCATTTGCGCGTTGTCGAATGTGCGACAGGATTCCCAGCGGCGAGAGGATTCCTGCCGTACAAGACGGTGACGAGCATTCGGGAATACTGCAGCTGCCCGACGCCGTACAGGTGTTCCTGCTGCCAGGTTGTTACCCTTTTTCACAGCAAGTCTCAGAAGAATCGTGAGTTCATGGAAGTTCGATTATCCTTTCAGCGATGATTTCCGCGATTGATTCTTACCGAGATCTTCCTTGGTTTCCACAGTGTGCATCAACTTCGTCTACCAAGGGAACGGGATACAAATCGACGCGACGCTGAACTTGAGTAACATCAAATCGAGGAAAGTTACGGGTAACGGTGACGTTATTCGGTAGAACGCGAGCTTTAGAAACTGATCTCGTTGGTTTGCAGATTATGGACCTCTGAAGTTCTGCATCAACGTGCCGGGATGCGTCTTCTCCTCTACCTGCGTGAACGTTGTGGAACTTAATCAATTTTCCAGGTACCATTTTTATGATTGAACAGCGCCGAGTGCATTGTAGTAAGTTTCGTTTGTTTAAGATCGGTAACGGCTTGCCTGCGACTGGATATCTACACGAAGAAACGAATATGGCAAATAAATTACGATTGCGTCAGCATATCAACGGAACCGCCGACTACTGCTGCTAGTAGCACTACTAAAAAGATGAATGCGACTACTTCAGGATCTGGAACGGTCACGATGACTACTCGAATGACTATGTCCAGTGGTCAGACAACGATGTCCAGTACTCAGACAACGAAGTCCAGCAGTCAGACAACGAGTATGACAACTACGACGACCACGTCGACGATGGCACCGCCTAAAGTGGAAACGGAGGAGACGACGTCGGATGTAGAAGTGATAACGGTTCCAGGAACTGGATCGACGACGGTTATAGACATAGATTAATTAATTTATACCTATTAACTAGCATATGCAACCATTACTGTGTAATAAGTTACATCAGACAGTTGAAGGAACTGAGTTACATGGAAGTAATCTCTGGGAGAAAGTTAATTAAGAAATTCATAAGTCATTCCATTTTTATGAAGATGATATTTATTAAATGCAGATTAGTATAAACAAGAAATTATCTCTTTCTTTCGTATTTCCATTTATATACTGGTGCAGAAGTTTTTGTACCTTTGCGTATTAATTTTGGTTTAGTGACCTTTCTGTCTTTAAGTGCCCTCTGCATTTCTAATTTTTCTTGTACAATGGTTAATTCCCGTTCTCTATTGATTCTTTTTTCCAACTCTTTATAGGACATGTGCTTTTGCTGTTCTATTTTATTTAATGTTTTCTCATCGATTTCTGGCAGTTTCATGTCCTTCAATCTACTCAATTTTGGCCTGTTTGTACGTCTAGATAGCAATGCCGGATGCGTGTCCAATCTTTCTGCTAGATCAAAGTTTTTCATTTCTTCTTTGCCATCCAGGAAGAATATGTGGTCATTTGGAACCTCATTTACAGCATCGATCATATGCAACTGACTTTGAATCTTATCTATTTTCTTGGCTTCTATGTTTCTTTTGTATGCAACATAACGAATATCTTGAGTCTCCATCAACTGTATTTGATCTGGAGTAGAAGTATCATCTTTCCTTTTCTCTTTATGCACTCCATCCTCGATTTTAGAGTTAATCATATGAAAATAAAATTCATCTGGATTTTTATTAAGGGCCCGTTTACGTAGAAGCTTTAATGTTTTCTGTTTTCCTTGGTAGTCTTTAGCTCTTGCAATGTAGTCCTTCTTTTTTTCTAAAATACCCAAGTGTTGGCGAGACTCAGGCTGATGTCTCTCTCTATGAGTTTTCTGCGACGATTTCGCTGCTTTTTTCCACGAAGACATGTTTGTCTAAAAGAAGTTCATTAAGTCAACAAACAAATTAACAAGTTAAACAATATTATAATCTGACATATCGTACCAAAATATGAATTCTTCGCAAACAAACAGCTGCAACGGACTAATGTAAATACTCAACCACTGAAAACCATAACCTCACTTCAAGTAAAATTCTAAAACATGTAAATGCGCCATCAAACGACAAACGTAGGAAACCAGTCTACAGATTACGTTCCATGATGTTCATTAGCGCTCCACAAGTTCATCCCAACACAGCTGCAATACAAATATATTATATATCAATCAATTTTTGCCCATTTTTCCTTTTCCCTCTTTCACAATTTTTCATATAAATCTCTCCCTTGTAGAACATGCCCTCAGAAATTATTAATTAATAATTCACTACAAACCTTAAAATAAAAATCTTTAATTAATAATTCACTAAAAATATAATCGAAATTTTTATCGTAATAATACATATTCTAATATTACTCATAAATTAACACAGAAATAGCGAATTCACATCTGCGTAATACCGGTTGCATTCCGTCAGGGGCATTCACGCAGGCGTGACAGCGGCCGTCAATGCTATAGCGATTTCTACAGGGCAAAATCGAGCGTTTTCCCTATCCCCATAATGTGTAAGACAAGGACAGAGCGACTGTGCGACAAGGACAGAGAGAGAAATCCCGGTGCCACCATCTTTTGGAAAGCATCTCATAAGTCCCTGCTCCTTACGCGTGAAGCATGATGCGCAAGGAGGTATCCGACAAGGACAGACTTATGTGTTTCATGGTGTAAGACAAGGATAGAGATAAAATTGGTGCCATCTAGCGTCAACGGTTCTGACTACATATTTTCGATTAAGCACGACAAGGACAGATATCGATGAAAAATTCATTAATAACTCCACTCCTCGTAAGGGTTCATTAACATTTTCGACTAGAGAATGTAGAGTAGATCTTCAGCTATTTTCTCATAGTACTTTTAGCAAGATTTTGCTTCGCATTATTTATTAATGATTTTTTGAACCATCGTATTCTAAGGTAACTAAAATCTTTTTGACAGGTCCCTGGTGAGTTATTAATTTTCTATCTTTATAGAGGCAGTTGGTAAACTTTTGTAAGTGGAGAAATTAAAATAAACTTTCTATATATTATTTATTTACAATGTTCACTAAATTATGTTGGAATATTTTATCGACTAACTATGACAGGTTGTTTCTAACTGACTATTTATAACAAGAATATCACGGATATTAACAAAAGAATTTAAAATATATAGTAAAATAATTTCTAATAAAAAACAGAAATTGTCTTTATCTATAGTAGGTAACGGTATTACCGACAGAGTAGCTACACCTTGTGTACTCCCACGTCGGTAACATTTGTCTACCAGTTTGAGCGTTTTGCCACGGATGGCGCCACATAAGAAAAAGGGTTGCGCTATCTAGCGGTAAAAAAGCATACTAATTCTCTAGTAGCTTGGGTGTTTTATTGTAGATGGCGTTAATTTGGCGGGAAACTTGACAAATTTTGAATTTGCGTTGTAATTAGTAAACGTTGTTAAAGTCGTGTCTTTAGTGGTGTATGTAACTTATCCATTTCCTTTTGTGTAATTATTTATACAAGCATATGACACAGGCAGCAGAGAAAGAGTGCTGAATGCAATGCTCGTTGTCAAGTTTCGATAAATACTTGTACCAGAAATGAAGTATGTAACTAATTAGATTTCTATTAAAAAGCCTAGAATCTTGAATTATTAATAATGCCGAATGCGACATGGAAATAAACGACGTACTACTTAGTTATACTTAAAGAAAATTCTTTGAATATTATTTAAAATTTTAAAGGTCCATAATGATAGAATAGGATGCAAAGTAAAATTAGAAATGGCAACAGTAAATAAAGAAGAAGCTGTTTTTCTTTCAAAATATCTTATTCCACATTCTTCGCTGAAACATTTCCAGTTTTGTATAAAGTAATTGAGAAATGATGAATTGAAGTGATATTCGGTAATATTAAAACGTTGAGAACACAAAGTTGCAATATATATATAATATATATATATGGTACTTAAGAGTTACTTGTATGAAAAAGTCAGGTTTATTTAATCGCAATAATGAATACCATATAACTTTCGATCGTTGTACTACAATTAGATTGCGCTAACAGTTAAAAAAATTATTGGGACTTATTTTGAACAATACACGAATCTTTGAAGAAATATGGATATGTCAGAAACGTGTTCTGCGTGCTTTCTTTCTCAATGATATGAGTCACACGTGTGGTATGTTACTATAAATAACTTATATTAACGCGTAAATGTACATACTTTGTTTCAAAAATCACATATGTATGAAAAATTATAAATTATGTTCTGAAACTATTCAATTCACACTCTTTGTCTTTGATTGTATTACTAATTCAGGACACCTTGATACCCCAGCAATTAAAAAATATTGTAAATGTTTCTTCTTGTATCTTATAGAAATGATAAGTGGAACAAGGTTCCAAATTTCATTAGTGAGGAAATTACAATGCAGCTGTTATAAAAATAAACCTGTATACATATATCGTTGTATATGTATTCATTTTTTTTTTTATACATAAAATATATTTCTATGTACTTTTAGTGAGTATATATGTATCTACATCTAACTATGGCATGCGATGTCGTGTTTTAATAGCCGTTAAAAAATGTGTGCGTAACTTTTATCTTCTGAAAATTCGTGGCCACAATTTCTGTTACCATAAGTTAGTAATCACTGTCAGTGAACACACTGTCGATAGGTAGATATAAATTACATACTGAAGGAGAATGCTCTGATGTTGTAAAAGGAAAGGGAACATACGAAACAATAAAGACATTGTTTAACTCGAATGGCTTTGAAATATAAAGAATTATACGAATTCGCGAAGAACTATAAAGATCGAAATTTTTGCGTTATTATCATTTCAGAAATAGTTGTATAGGAATTTATATACCTCTATCGTATTTGCATCTATAAATATGATATTCCACTGTCCGTTCATGATATGCGATAACAAACAACTCATCACCTCAAAAACAATAAATTCAGGCACATTGAAAATATATTACATATTATTTGTTCAATACTTAAACTTAGGGTATCTAAAAATTTCAGCAACACCATACATATTTAATTCGTTGCATGGTTGATAATAAAAATGCCTCTTTCTCGTATTGAGTCATATTTGTAAAACCTATATAAAACAATGATCGTATCTAAAATTTAATAATACTTACTCTTCTAATTAAAAATTCTTTAACAAATTCCGATACAACGAGTAAAGTCCCGCAAAAGCGTTCTTTCATCTCTTCGTCATGTTTCCTTAACATTAACGTTACATTTTTGGTCCATTGAATATTGCTATCTCTTCGGTTTCCAACTAGTCGTATATCAGCAATAACGAAGATCCGAAAGTATCTTCGATTTCATAACAAACATAAAAATTTAAAAAAAGCGTCATTAGAGTCGCCAAGTACTGCGTAAGCGTCGCAATCTTTTAACTGTCATAGAGTGCTAGTAAAATAGTAACAGTACTATGCACTATATAGAAACGTTTGCGATTCTTCCATCTTTGTTGTCTCGAAACATTTAACAAAGATAAAAAGCTCACGCTAAGCAAGCTCGTCCGTACACTGTTTCCTTTCTTCCTCGACTCGCTGGCGAGTACGATTAAACGCTTCAGTTTTTAAGAAATCCACTGTCTTGTACACCGTCGTATTTGGCGGTGACTGAGTTGGTGGTAAACTTGAAGATGTGAAGCTCTCCGTTGCTTCTAAATCAAGGTCCAAGTATTGTAGAACAACGAGGCGCCGATTCGAAGCAGGAATGAAAGTATTTTGATCTTGATAGTAATATATCTGGAAGTTTAAAGTAAAGCTTTTAATAAAGAACGATGAAACACCCAGTATGTACAGTATATCAGATATACACTACAAACCTCTTCTTTATCATCGAAAGCGTTGTTATCTTCGTCTGATGTTGACTGATGTCGATTCGAATGCACATGAGTCGGCGGTGTTGGACTAGGGGCTGCTCTAATTCTTCCTCTTCCAGGTGGAGAAGCCAATTGCAAAGGTCCTGAAACATCATTGAATTTCGATTAAACATTCTTTGAAAGGAAATTATATGTTACTCGCGAATATGCATACCTTCTACGGGAGATTTGTTTAAAGGTGGTTTGAGCTTTCTGTTAATACTCGGTGGTTCAGCAGGAGAGTGTTCCGCGGAGCTCGTCTCCAGAACTGGCATTGTTGGTCCTGGAGAAGGTTCGTTGCTAATAATTGATGTAGAATCGCTAGTCTTTCTTCCCGGCTTCAATTCACGGTACACGACCGGTGGTGGCGGAGCCGCAGTCGTTGGTACAGAATTGTCTCGAACCAGAGGACTCGGTAAATTAGAGTACGTAGCTGTTGCTGAACTTTCTGAACGAGGACTGGACGGTTCCTCCTCTTGAAAGTCATAACGGAACACACGCGCTTCTTCCACGCTGCTAGGCGCAGCGTTCGAGTAGAAATGTTTAGACGATTGCTCGATCGCGGCTGGGTCGGGTGCTTGTCCGGGTTGGTGAGATCTTGGAAAATCGTACGATTCGTCGGTGATTATCGCAGTCGCAGGTGTCGATGGTGCAGGAGTGGCCGGTGTTGTAGGCTTCGAACTTTCAGTTGCACCGTCTAAATTTAAATAATTATGACCAGGATTTTCAGGTAACATATGCGGAGGTTTCGGTGGTCTAGGAGGTGCTGGTAACTTTTCCACGGCAGGAGGTACAGCGGAATCAACGATCCCCAGCTTGCCGAATCGTTTTCTGACGCTCCAAGATCCAATTTCAGCGTCGCTTGAACCTTGCGGTTGTTTGGATTCACCTGATACAGATTTAATGAATTACAGTTTCACCGAAAAACAGAGGACGCGTTAGCGAATAATTACCTGATGAAGGTAACGTGTCCCAGTTGACACTAGGCACGGGAGCAGTCCATTCGTCGTCGGTGAACACGCTTTCCGCGTCGGTTGTTGTAGGAGATCTAGGAGGAGACGGTGCTAGTCGCCTTGGGGCATCGTAATGTTCTGGTCCTTGACCAAGAGTCGAATTAAGAGAGCTAGTGTCGTTTAAACGACGACCAGAAATGCATTCGCTGATGGGAATGTAGGGGCCAGAGATAGTGCTAGTGGGTGAAATAGGTGGGGACTCTTGAGTTTCAAACTGGAACACTGAAAAGAATATTATAATCTTACAGGGAAAGTTTGAATAAAATAATTCTTAAAGAATATATGCAGTAATAATATATACTTTGACATTGCTGTTCTTCGTCTTGTGTGTATGCTTTCAAGCCGCATACTTGACACACTGCATCTACCCACTTATTCATATCAGCTTCACTTTCTGCCACTAAATAATATGTCCTTTTTGGTGTTTTAACATTGAACATGTATTGATACTTTTGTTTCCTGTTCTCGAATCTCAGTCCTGCATCTACCTGCATACGCGTACAGATGATTGTTACAAGCGAGTGAGCAAAATCCAATGACCGCTTAATAGTAAACAATTACCTGTTCACACTGATCAAGATCAATACAACCTTTCAGCTTCCTGCAACGTTTATCCGTAAAGTATTCCAAAAAGTATTGACCTGGTAGTTCTCCACTATGTCGAAGAGTAAACCACCTTTTTCTCCATCGCTAAAAACAAACAAGAATCATAAACAAATTGAAAACATAGTAGCCAAGAAGCATTATAACCCGGACACTGTACTGCTCGACAAAGAAATCACAAAAAACGTTATCGCTCGGAGCCAGTGAACAGAATAACACAAGATTCGAGGTTAGAATTCGTGGGATCTCGACGAAGAATCGCAGTCACGATGGTTTTGACAACCGTTCAAGAACGTAAACAATGGAAATTTCATGAACGGATAGAATTGCCCGTTTGCCATGATTCTATGGGATACTGACCGCTCGCCAAAGTTTCGTGGGTGGCGATTTAATGAGCCACCCTTCGTGCACTATCTCCTGGCTGGTTTTGTGCACCTCCATTCCTATCCGCAGTCGGCCACGAACCTTTTAATAATCGTGCATTGTTACGGAGTGCGTGGAACCACCGACAACAAGGATGGCACGCTGCTCGTTCATTTATCTATTTTTGGACGGCGCAGCAGCGATCCCACAGATACACCGACCGTCTAGCAATCTCACCAAGACGAAGACGATGCGCAAGACTAACACAACGACAATGAGTTCCCATCACTAACTCGGCATCATCAATGACAAACACCCTCCGAGAAGCCCAGCGAGGAATTAAAGAGGAACACTGAGGCGAGAGACGGTGACACGAAAGAGAGACGGGTCCGACTATCGTGCCTCCATTACCACCACCATCTTGGCCACGCGTGCCAAGCCATGTCAAGCATCGTGGATGACACACGCTTCTCTCGGGCTGTGCCCGCTGTTCGGATGGGCAAATAGCCACGCATCATTATTCCGTATCGAGCACTGAATCATTATTCCATGCCCAGTTGCAGCTCTCGTTACGAAAATCTCTCTGAATTCTCCTACACTTAACCTGTTACATACAGTATAGAAGGTTCCCGTATCCGAGATACCTTCATTTTTCTATTCGTTACAGTACTCTTTCCATGCACTTCGTCAAGGCTCCCTCTATTCGTCATTGTTATCGTTCAGCTGTGCTCGATGCTAGGTAAAACATTCTTTTAAGTAACAAACAATAAATTCTCTATTTCATTCGAGTCCCATGCTATTCGAGGGATATTCAGAATAGTTCGAACATTACCTTGAAACATTTCTCTGTAACTTCGCTCCTTTTTTAGGTGAAACAAATCAAGGTGTACTCTATTATTTTCGCTCGACGTTAATTCCATCGATACGAGAGGCGAGGCTCGGAAAGTTACTCGATTAACAGGTTAAAAGCGAACCAGAACGACGCGTCGTCGTCTCTCGATCCAAGCAAACAGCGCAACCGCGCGTACCAGTTGAAAGTGTTCCGATTCAACGCGGAACAAAGAAATTCCTGGGTAGACATCGGCGTTCGACGCCGACGCCGATAAATAACAGAATGTTCGGTCTTGCTGTCAGGAGCGGGCGAAAATAGATTTCGCGGATTATCGAATGCCCTTTCGAATGCTGTATCCGCGAATGTTTCGCAACCGTTGCAGCTGGCTCCGTCAGGGGTCAAACGATAGGCTGATAACGATCAGTGCGGTGACACGCGAAAGCTTCAACAATGAGAACTGCGTAACGCTGCATCGCGAGAGCCTTAAATCTTTATCGGGAGAATCGCACGGGCGAACTTCTCTCTTATAGCGTACCATTACTTTCTCGCAAATCGCGCTAGCGATATTCAGGTTACGCACAGTCGCTAGGCATTCCAGATATTTCAATCAGCCAATGCACTCTGACGAGGAGAGCTTGTCCGAGTGTTGTGCTCACCGCTGCACGAACCTTCGGCAGACTAGTAACAGCGTTTAGACTATTACCATCAGTGTTAACGCGTTGAACGCCGCACAATATCATAGAGCAAAATACGCGAAACGGGAGAGTACAATATTAAATCGTTTCATCGAATTGCGTTATTATTGCACGCTGATCTTGCTCAATGCCACCGCGTTCGGTAGCATTGTTTTAATTGAAATGAATTACAGTAATTCGATTTGGTTGGGGGTCACTGAGATTGCGAACCATTCAACGTGTTAATGCGATTGTCTTCCGAAGGCTAAACGTACTCTTAGATCTTATGCATTTGTAACGAGTAATAGTGTGTTAATGAACATTTGATGGACTTTTCATTTTATTTTTAGATAGACGAAATCTGAAGTAGGAAACGTAAGTTTCTAAGTATATTCTAGCTACCGAAGAGACGGAAAGGTTTGGTATTTAACGAACAATTGAAACGAGTAATTAGAAATTAATTGAAACGTGTGCAGATCTATAGTCGCTATTGATATGTTGTAAGTTTTCAGTAACTGGCACTCGAGAGGTGGTGTTGGAAGAATTGGATCGAGGAGTATCACGATTTGCCAAGGGCCAATTAAACAGAGTTACATCCGGCCGTTTCCCATTATCAATCACGGTATATTTTGGCCGCATATAAAGGAAGAATGCGGTTGCCAGAAATAAATTCCGTGTTTCCTCGGTGGATTGCGGCCAGGCAAGCGATGCCTCATTTTCCCGTTTTTAATGACCGATCGTCCGGAAGGGTGAAAACAGGATTGCGCCGTTAGACGTCAGCAATCGTCGTTGAAATACGAAATCACGAAGGTTTATACGCGTCGCCCCACGGCCACGAATTAACGAAGGACAGGCAAAGCGCGGAACGCGCCGCGGTTAATTTGCAATTCAATGCTTAACGCGGTAGACGCCGATCGATATTTGAACCTAGCCTTCACTCGCGATTAGCGATGTTCTTTTATAGCGTGTACTCCTTAACGAGGAAAAGCGGCGTCGTAAAACGTTGGATTTCTGGAAATACCGTTGTTTCGATAGCGACGTCGACGAATGACTCCACCGAATGGCTGCAATCACGCGTATTACTCATCTTAAGGCTTCAGGCGATCGCTCTGGTGCCACATATTCTTAGCAGTCGCTACAAGTATCCTAGTATCATAGAAAAACCGATGAAACTCGAATAATTGTAACGAACTTCCTTGAAATTGAACGAAGAAATGAATGACCTTTGCAGCAACCAAACACACACACGCACACTCTATAGTCGAATAATCCATAAATTGTTTATTAAATATTTTTCGTTTGTTTTCTATACAATTCCGTTACGAGGGCAATAATCGGTGTCGCAAACCAGTCGCTAGAACGGAACGCGC